CCAAACAAACTGCTCTTCTTTATTACTTTATTGACTTAGGCATCTGTTGTCATAATGGAAAGCTAACACATGGAAAATTGGTACTAAGAAGTAGGGCCATTGCAACCATTATACTTGACAATGTAGAAAAGCCTTTGGAATTGGTTTACAGATGTTCAGAACAATTTGGAGTAGGTTAGAGGATTTCTTAAACTGTAGGTCTCAACCTCATGTAGGGTTGCATACCTGGATATGGGAGTTGGGAAAATTTTGGCAACAGCAAAAAGTTTCTGAATGATCAATGACCAAAACTTAAGTTGAGATCAAACGTATAATGAACCTGAGGTGTTTGTTTCTGGCAGCACTTGAACATGTTGTATTATGAGACTTTATTTCACTACAGCCTTGGTTCTGAACACACAACATGTACACTTTGCCCCAGGCATGCCTTCATACCACGTAACACCAATAAATGCTGCCTGAAACATCTCTGCTCAGATCCCAGACTATGTATGTTAGAACTATGTCTTTTTACTGTACATACAAAGTTTTCTGCTCTTATAGAAACTCAATGATTTAATCACAAAAAACAAAGACTAAATAATTTCCCTACATTCATTCCTCAGCTCAGAGTATCACATTAGTGCATCTTTGGGTTGTACTGGGTGGAATGTTTTAAAAATTACTGATTGAGTTGCTGATTTCAGCATCATTAAAAATCATAAAATGAAGCTGGGCATCGTAGCATAGTCCTTTAATCCCAGCACTTGAGAAGCAGAGGCAGGCAGATCTCTGAGTTCTAGGCCAGCCTCATCTACATAGTGAGTTGCAGGAGACCCTGTCTCAAAAAGACCAAAAAAGAGCCTCATTCTAAAAAGTGGGTGCAGGGACCCCCGTCCCAAAAAAACCAAAAAAAAAAAAAAAAAAAAATCATAAAATAAATTTTGGCTTGGGATTAGGACAGAATTTTCAACTTTCTGAAATGTCCTAAACACACTTACGTGAAGCAGGAGTGATGATCATAAAATCAGATGACTGAACTCAGCTTTGAAAATTGTTTTATTTGTGTGTATGCACGGTGTATGAATAATATGGAGGATGCCTTATGTCCTGTATCAAAATATTCAGCCAAGATTTCTTTATTTAAAAACAAGCAAGCATAGCCACCTTCTTAGTATGCAAGTCTGTCTTTGTCTTTGTAAGTGGCAAAATATACCACAGAGTTTTAAATTTTTCTTCATTATGTATTATCAGTAAATGTTTGATTTGTATCCCTATTTTATATGCCCATGTACCCAAGGATAAAAGGGATCATTGATTGGAAAAACCTGGAGAAGCCCAGGGTTAGAGAAAGCTTATACTACTCGAAGTGGATCTTAACGAGGTGAATGTGGTGAGGAACCAGAACACCAGAATGCTGATAATGTGGGAGAATAGGTTATGCTGATGAGGTCTGAGCTGAAAATGAAGACTACTGGCCACTGGGATTAAAAGCATTATTACAGGCTGGCAAAGACTCTGGCTGCACTTTGTCCACGCTGATACTTTGTGTAAGGCTGAGCCTAAAGGCTGACGGGCTCATTTATCTGGTGAAAGAAATTTCAAGGTAGCAGAGCATTCAGACTGCAGCATGGGTATTACTGGCTTTTATCCAAACTAAAAGGAAGCCAAGTCATGTTTTTTAAAAAAAATGGGGCTGAGATGGCTCAGTGGGTAAAGGTACTTGCTGCCAAGCCTAACTACCTGAGTTCAAACCCAAAGACCCACATGGTGGAAAGAGAAACAATTCCCATAAGTTGTCCTCTGACCTCCACATGTACACGGTGGCACACAAAATCCCCCCTTGCCCAATAAATTAAAAAGAAGCTATGTGTATTATACTAGGACAATAGGAAAGCTATCTCAAGAGTATCTCAGAAGTCTGCAAAGCCATTTTACTCATTACATGTTCAAAGATGTGAAGATATGAACTCATTTCAAACATTTCCTTCAGAGAAGTGCCAGGTGTGCTCTCTGTGCGTGTGCCCCATGTTCAGCTAGCAGGGCACTCAGAAGCCCCTGCAGCTATGGTTCCAGAAGACCTAGGTGTGACAGGAACCATGTAATATGAGTTTTGCAGTCATGCGGAATGCAAAAGTTATGGGGTCATGGAGACCTCAACCAAGATTTTGAAGGAAGGCCTGAGAGGCAAGTATGGCAGAGTTCCTGACATGGTATGGCCCTCAGTAAAGGCAAAGCTGCAAAGGAGACCCAAGGAAGGGACACTGCAGACCATGGTAAAAAACCAGCAAGAAAGAGTGGCCAAGTGGGCTGCAACCAGTGATAGCATCAAGTGGGGCTGCCCAAGCACTTTGGAACCTGTATTTCACTAGGTGCCCTGGTATGGCCCTCAGTAAAGGCAAAGTTGCAAAGGAGACCCAAGGAAGGGACACTGCAGACCATGTGCAAAAACCAGCAAGAAAGAGTGAGTGGCCAAATGGGCTGCAACTAGTGACAGCATCAAGTGGGGCTCCCCAAGCACTGTTTGGGACCTGTATTTCACTAGATGCCCTGGATGCTGGACACAGAGGTAGAATAACTAATGCTTGTCCTGTTGGGTAGGGGCCTTTCTTTTTTCTAACCCATGCTTTCTGTCCCTCTAACCCTCCCTTTGGATTATGAACTTTGGGGCTGGGGTGGGGGGTAAAATAGTATACGCTGGATCCAAGTATTTCCCCTAAGGTTCAGAAATGGTGCTTTTGAGAGATGGTGTCTTTAGGAGGTGTGATAGCTTTGTCAACTTGAGATAACCTAGAATCACCAAGGAATAGTGTTACTGAGAGATGGTTTACATTTAGTTAGCCTGTGAGCTGTTTGTGGGGAACTGTCTTAATTGATGTAGGAAGATCCAGCCTACGGGGTGAAGGAAGCACCATTCCTCAGGTATATGTGTGGGAGGGGGGATCTGGGACTATAGAAGTGTGTGTGGGGGTCTTGGACTATAGAAGTGTGTGTGGGGGGTCTGGGATTATAGAAGAGTCAGGGGGTTGGGACTATAGAAGAGTGGAGAAATTGAGCTGACCACAGCAAGCATGCAAGAAGGCAGGCATCATTTTCTTCTGTTCTTGACTATGGATGTGATATGACTAGCTGTCTGAAGTTCCTGCTTTGAGTTCCCACAAAGACAGACGGTCACCTGGAATTGTAAGCTGACAAAAATCTCTTTCTTCCTTCTTTCTGTCAGTGTATCTTATGGCACCAACATAAAAGAAAGTAGGACAAAATTGGGAAATTTTAGACTTGGGACTTTTCAGCAATGCCAGGACAATTAAGACTTTGGGACTCAGCTGGGCATGGTGGCACCTGCCTTTAGTCCTAGAATTTGGGATCTATCTTGCTGGCAAGTATGGCAGACTTCCTGACATGGTATGGCCCTCAGTAAAGGCAAAGTTGCAAAGGAGACCCAAGGAAGGGACACTGCAGACCATGTTCAAAAACCAGCAAGAAAGAGTGGCCAAGTGGGCTGCAACCAGTGACAGCATCAAGTGGGGCTCCCCAAGCACTGTTTGGAACCTGTATTTCACTAGGTGCCCTGGATGCTGGACACAGAGGCAGAATAACTAATGTTTGTCCTGTTGGGTAGGGGCCTTGCTTTTTCCTTAACCCATGCTTTCTATCCCTCTAACCCTCCATTTGGATTAGAAATGCCCCATCATTTATCTGGGAAGCATGTATCTTTCTTTTATCAGAACTCACATTGGGCCTGCCTTGTTTTTCAGAGACTTTTAGACTTCGCTGAAAAGAGCAATGCCAAGACAGTTAAAACTTTAGGAGACTTGGAGATAGACTAAATGGGTTTTGCATCGAGACGTGCACATGAACCTTGGGGTGGGGAGTAAAACAGTATACTCTGGATCTCAAGTATTTCCCCTAAGGCTCAGAAAGGGTGCTTTTGAGAGATGGCGTCTTCAGGAGGTGTGATAGTTAGCTTTGTCAACTTGAGATAACCTAGAATCACCAACGAATAGTGTTATTGAGAGATGATTTACATTAGGTTAGTCTGTGAGCTGTCAGTGGGGAAATGTTTTAATTAAATGATGTAGGAAGATCCAGCCTACCGTGTGACAGACGGTCACCTGGAATTGTAAGCTGACAAAAATCTCTTTCTTCCTTCTTTCTGTCAGTGTATCTTATGGCACCAACATAAAAGAAAGTAGGACAAAATTGGGAAATTTTAGACTTGGGACTTTTCAGCAATGCCAGGACAATTAAGACTTTGGGACTCAGCTGGGCATGGTGGCACCTGCCTTTAGTCCTAGAATTTGGGAGGTGGAGGCAGGCAGATTTGTGAGTTGCAGGCCAGCCTGGTCTACACAGCAAGTTCCAGGCCAGCTGGTGCTACAGGGAGACCCTGTCCCAAAAAGACAAAAAACCCCCCCAAAACAAACAAACAAACAAACAAACAACAAACTTTTACTCCTCGAGATGGACTACATGCATTTTGCATCGATATAACACTCTAGGACAAAACATTACTTTAAAGAAAAAACATATTTGGCCATTCAGTTCCTTAAAAGAATCTTTTCTTCACTTCTGTGCATTGGCTCCACATCTTTCATACTACAGGTCCCTTTTCTTAACAGTGATTTCTGAACACCTGCTTTACTGCCATCTTACAGATGGACAGTTCCCACATCATAGCCCTGCCAGCTTAACCAAGGGAAAGTCGTAGCAGCGTGTCTGAATGTGAGCTGGAACCAGCCTGAGGTTCCTGCCTTCCATATGCCAGGTACAGTACAGGCATGACTATTAAAAGATAGGACCTCCTTGCCTTTACCTGTAACTGTGGCCCCTATACATTTAAACTCCTAGCACAGAACCCAGCAGCTGAGAAAATGCTTCTCAAAAAACAAAACAAAACAAAACAAAAAACAGTGAGCACATTTCAGTTTGAGTATAAACTATATACATTAAATTCAACAAAATAGGTTTCAATTAAAATCAATTGTCTACCCATTTCCTTCTACTTAAGAAATATACAATTATGATATACAAAGCTTTATTTATATGGATTAAATCTCAACAATTGTATAAAAAGGCACTGGTAATGTGGCAAATGGCAGCAATCCTATTATTTTAGCATCATGTCCTACAAAGTTATATACAAAATTTCACTTCTGAGTAGTTATAAAATTATTATTTAACATAATACCATAAATTCAGCTCTAATCACAACTTTTATCAAAATAATTTAATGGCAACAGAAATGATACCAAGGTAAAAGTAAAACAATGACTTTCCAAATACTGGTAGGAAAGAAGTCCATCAGCATACACTTGATTCCAGGCCCTTTGTGGCCTCTGACCAAATGGAACTTGGAAGGGTGAATCAAAGTGGAAAGATATATATTGCTCTAGTTTAGACCCTGTGTATTTCATATTAGGATGTAGACAGAGACCAGGGCAGGTGACTTACATCACATAATTACATGGGGGAGAGATGACCTAGCATTCTGATAACAAATCTAGAATCTTTTTCATTTCATAATAGGGGTTTCTAAAATAATACAATCACATTTTTAAAAAAGATCAAATCAGGTGCTGGGGCTATAGCTCAGTTGTTTAGACTGCTTACTGATCGTGCATGAAACCCTGGGTTTATCCCTTGTACTGCACAAACTGGTGTTAAAGATCAAAACAAATATTAAGGGAAGAAAATTCATGATAACATTTTAGACTATAAAAAAGCACTAATGCGCTAATTTAATTAAAATATTTGTAAACAACTGTGCTCAGGACACTACCTAGGGAGCTATAAACCTGGCTGGCAGTTTACTGACAAAGTGATTCAAGGTTCGCTCAGATCCTACTCTCTCTCTAAATTGGTTATGTTTGTACCATTACCATTTGAGTTAAAAGTCTTCCACAGAAATTTCTCATTTGATTTCCAAAGAGAAGTTTCCAGCTCTTCCCCTCTTTTGGAGGCTGCAGTGCTGGGTACTTTTTCACACAGAGTCTCTATCACTGCCAAGTCAGTGAGCTTGCTGAGACTGTCATCATTCTGCTCATTCAAGATGTCCCAGAAATCTTTCGGTCTCTGCTTTGCTTTTGCCACGGGCCCTGAAAGAACTTCCTTTGGCAGTTTCGTGGGACTATTCCCATGACTGTAAAAGAGGTCATCAAGAATAGAGGTGTCACCGAGTAGGCCTTCCATAGAAGTATTTTCTGACCCTGGGTTTTCTACCTTTTTGTTTCCCAACTGGAAAAGGGGTGCATTTCCTGGAACGCCTGTTCTTGTGAGGTCCTGCTGGTGTTCCATGGTACTGTCTAATTTTCTCTCATGGGCTTCAGACTTGCTCTTCAGAGACCAGAGTGCTGCAGTGTCCTTGGGTATGTGGAGGTTTCTCCCACTGCCAATCTCTTGAGTGGAGCTAATAGGTACTCTCCTACTCTCTGCATCATTACAGAGTGCCTCTTCTCTACGGGAAGCATGATTCTGAGATTTAATGGACTTTCCTTTATGCATTTTGGGGCTGCAAATTCCAGACATTTTGTTAGTGGAATCATTAAATGACGAAGTTTTAGAATCCGATGGCCTTTCTTTTATAAGAGATTCTTTTTCTTTAGATTTATTCCTGATTTTTTCTTCAACTCTGTGGGAAAATTTGATCAACTCTGAAGCAGAATCCACAAAACATTCCTTTACGTCTGGATGCTGATTAGTGTAAAAGTCTCTTAGCATTTTCTGTCGCTCTTCTGATGTGGCATCAGTCACTTGTTTAGCAAATTCTTTCACAGAAGAGGAGTTATAATAAGAAGCTATTTCTTCAAACTGTTTTCTAAAGATTGAATAAATAAAATCAGTGGTTAATTTTATTACTTTCATCTTAAAAATTTATTTTTATTTTATGTGTATGAGTGTCTTGCCTGCATGTAAGTGTACCCTTGTCATGCAATGCCTGTGGAGGCCAGAAGAGGGCACTGGATCCCCTGGAACTGGAGTTAAGGTCAGTGCTCTTAACTGCTGAGCCATCTCTCCAGCCCCTACATTTCATTTTTAAAGAGCTCATTAGGAACCTGGTAAGATGTCTCAGCAGGTAAAAAGTGCTTGCTGAGTAAGCCTGATGACCTGAGTTCAATCCCTGGAACCCATGTAAGGGTGGGAGGAGGGAACTGACTCCACCACGTTGTCCTTTGCCCTCTACACACGCTCCATGGCATGGATGTGCCTGCTCTCACAACACATAATAAAGTTACAGAAACTTTTATTTTTTTGAGACAGGGTCTCACTATGTAGCTGTGGCTGGCCTGGAATTCTCTATGTAGACCAGGCTGGCCTCAAACTTGCAGAGATCTACCTGCCTCTGCCTCCTGAGTACTGGGATTAAAGGGATGCATCACAACACCTAGTCTTACAAAAAATTTTAAAGACTTCATTAGCAGTGACAGGAAATATAGAGGCTAAGCAACATGGCCTTGTTCCTTTAGTACCTGTACTCCATCCTAGGAGAATGTGGCCTCCTTGTGCTAATAGAAACAACCCTACAGCTTTTCTGGTGACCGATTTATGCCATTGGGTATTCACTGGGAATTATGAGAGCTCAGCATGCTATTCTTCCAGTCAGCCAATTTATGACTAAAATGAGTCATCATTTGTATAATCTGTATTTGAAAAATCTGTACTACATTCAAGTCCATGGAATAATATTATTGAGACATTTTAATGAATAGGAAATTCTGAAAAATTGAAGAAAAATATCTTTCTTTTTCCTTACAAGTGTAACATGGAAATTTCATGCAGCTTTTTGATGAGCTTAAAGGAAGGCTCTATCAGAAGCATAATTCTTTTTTCTTCAGTTGACCCAACTTTAATATAAAGAGCACCCTTAGACATCAGGTATGACTTGCTGGATGTGGTATAAGCTGAGCATACTAGAGGCAGGAGAATGGCAAGTTCCAAGCAGGTTCTACATAGGGTGACCCTGTATCAAAACTAAAGAAAAAATCTTCACCATGGAAGAAGCCAGAGCAGTCTGCATCCTGATTCCCTACTGCTATCTGGGTAACCTCTTCATAGGATGGTGTGATAAGAATAGGAGGTAGGAATTGGCTAGGCAGTTAGGGTAAAGAACGACCCCAAAGAAATGTAGCCAGTTTCTTGGCTAAAAGTCAAAATGTCCTTGGGCCTATTAGCAACATACTCTGTTCCAAAGGCCAAAAATGTCAAAAGTATTTGAGAGCTCTTATCTAATCCCTAAAAGATTTTAGGGTTACCCCTTCAGAGGTACTTGTTAGAGTAGCAAAAAAGCCCATTAAAAAAAGAAAGGAAGAAAGAAAGAAAAGAAGGAAAGAAAGAAAGACTATATGAAGTTGTCAGAAAAAAATGATGGGGAGATATGGTAGGTGTTGGAGGGGAGGGACTTGGTGTGGATTTGATCAAAACACCTTATATGCATGTATGAAATTCTCAATAAAGCTTTTTTTTTTAAAAGTTAAAAACAACTAAAGAAAAAGTCAAACAAAAAAAACAAAACAAAAGGAGGGGTTGGGGATTTAGCTCAGTGGTAGAGTGCTTGCCTAGCAAGCGCAAGGCCCTGGGTTCGGTCCTCAGCTCTGAAAAAACAAAACAAAACAACAACAACAACAAAAGGAGTAAGATATTGTTTAAAGAAGTAAACTGCAATCAGTATAAGATAAAACAAACCCTCTTGTATTCATGTATAAACATTTGAGCTTTTTGGAACCTTACTAAGGTGGGGGTAAAAAATTACTTAGTTCCCTTGTGCCAGATCACTGCTTTCCACTGGTAAAGGGATGAAAGTCTGAATTGTGTTTACTTCCACCTGCTGCAGTCTAATGGGACAGTATCTGTAAACAAGGTCTTTAGGATTAAGTAAAGCATAGGTAGGGTGCTAATCCTACAGGGTTAGTGTCTTTGTGCTAGAGAATCAGCACAAGGATATTCTTAAAAGGTTTCAGTTTTGAACACATGCTTGTGATCCCAACACTCTGGAGGTAGAGAGGCAAGAGGACTGAGTTCATGGTCATCCTCAGCTACACAGTAAGTTTGAGGCCAGTCTGGGTTACAAAAGACCCTGTCTCATTCCCCATCCCTAACAACAAAGGTTTCAGTGTTTACTGCACATATAGTAGCTATTTGTGCTTGTTACCTTTCTCTCTGCCTCTCCCTCAGTCTTGTTTCTACTTTTTGGTCAAGTGAGATGGGTCTTCTGCAAGCTACGATAGCCCTTACCCAAAACTGAATTGGCTAACACTTTGATCTTGGACTTCTTAGATTCTACAACTTTGAAAAATGAATTTCCGTTGTTTAAGCCACCCAGTCTGTAGTCGTTTGTTGGAAGTGCCCAACAAATTAAGATAGAGGGCACTGCTTTGCTGATGTTGCATTTGGCTGTTGTCAGGAAAGCCAAATGCCTATAACTTTCTTCAAACAAAAGCCACAGATAGTGTGGTAGTAGCACATGATTAAAAGGCCCAAACTTAAGAATTATATTCATGCTTCATACAATAGCATCTTAAACGTTAATGCACAGATTCAGCCATTTTTTCTTGAAAAAGATTTATTTATTTTGTGAGTATTTATCTGCAGGTATGCATGTACATCATGCACGTAGTATCCAATGAGGCCAAAAGAAGGTGTCAAATCCCCTGGAATTGGAGTTAAAAGTGGTTGTGAGCTGCCATGTGGATGCTGGGAACTGAACCCAGGTCCTTTGCAAAAGCAGTAAGTGCTCTTAACCACTGAGCCATCTCTCCAGATTGATTGAACCACTTTTTACAGAGCCTTGTTAATGTTCTAGGACCTAACTGATTGTTGGTAGGCAAGGAGGGTGAAGAGGGCTTCTCTGTGGTCAACTCCATCACTCAGATAAGGATGAGCTAGGAAGTAAGTCTTCAAGTGCACAGGTCTGGCTCCCAAGGGATCCAGAATACAGCAGGTAGATGAAATTGTCGAAGCGACTGACAATCATAAAGTTACCTGATGCCCAAGGTGAGAAGGTTGAATTTTACCCTACACACAACAGATTCCTTTGGTAAAAAAGAAACAAAGATTTATTTTTATGTATGTAAGTAGGGGTGTAAATGCCACTGTTTTTAAAATTTATTATTTATTTATTTATTTATTTATTTATTTATTTATTTATTTATTTATTTAGCTACCCAGGCCAGGCTATAAAGTTTCCTTTGATTTTAGTGGCAGTCCATGTGTGCTCACTCTTTTTTTGTGGCTTGACATGAGTACCATGGCTTTTAGGACTCACCAGAGTCTTGTTACATGTTCTAAATCCAGACACTATTTCCATCTGATCAACTTCTGCACCTACCTACAACAGAATGTGTAATTCCACAAATATAAACTCCCAAATTTCTGTCCTGGAAATTGCCAATGTTCTTGTTGGAACACAAGCATGTTCTTAAAAGGTTCCACTTTTCACATGAAATGAAGTAATAAGATGTTATTCTATCTATTAATCATCTCCGAATTCATTTTCAGGACCTTTCTAATAAATGTTTGTGCTTGTTAAGATTTAGTGACCAGCGGGGCTTTAAACGATGACTTTTATTTATCCAAGACTTGGTGATGTCTTGGCAATTGCCAAAGGAACTTCAGGTCTGCACTAAGCTATGACCTCACCTGTGACCTGGGGCCTGTTACTGGGGGCCCGTCACTCCTAGGAGAAGTGTTATGGAGTCTTCAGTGACTCATGCCATATAGCTGCCCCTTACAGGATGGGTCCGATTATCATGCACTTTCTTTTTGCTTTCCTAGTTCTGGGACTTCAAAAGAATTTCTTCTAAGAATTTAAGAAAATGTAAGGCGTAACTAAGAGCATAAACTAAGCACTTTCGTGAGAGAAAAAATGGTAGAGTAGCCTTAGGGAAAAGGGAACAAAGGAAACCAAGTACATCAGAACTAATGTGTCACGGCTAAACTTCCTAAAGCACTTCTCTTGGGAACAGGCTGGACTGCACCTGACGGCACCCTCTCCATCTACGATTTCTGAGGGCTGGAGGTGTTGAATGCCCCAGGTAGTCCATCATATAGTTGTAGCAAGCTAGAGCCTTGACTCTGACTGACTAGGATGGCAGCAGGAAAGGAAAAGGGGGTGGGAGGGTTGCTGTCCAGGCAGATCCTGGAATTCTAATATTACTCTTCACTTTTTACCTAGCCTGAGACATTTATTTTCTAGGCTGAGTAGAGAAAAAAAAATGGAAGGAAGCAAAAATGAATTATTGTTATACTTTTTCTTTTTAAATACATACTGCTATCGGGGATAAAAACTGGTGTGTACCTCAGAGACTGGGAAAATGTATATGGTTAGTCTCTAGGAAAATAACTGTCCATAGTGAAAAAAACATCCTGCTGCAGAAATCATTGCTGCAAATCCAACCTTGGGGAGAGGTCTGCTGGAGAGTGCGGTGTGGGGAGATGCCACCTTTCTGTGCACCTGGGCAGCTGAGAAGCACTTGCCAGCTCCCTAAGGAACTGAAGCCTCTCCTGATCCTTTCCTGGGTAGCTCAGGGACCAGGTGCCAGGGATGCCAACTCCAAGGAAGTATTTTGAACCCATGGGGCCAACATCATTTTCCACTTTCCCCCAAGGCCATGTGGACTAGATTGATGATTCCTCTTCTCTGCTTCCCTCGGACTCCGCTTCCTGCTAGTGACAGACCCTCATCAGTACTGCTTCCTACACCATCCGACCACCATTCTTGGTAACATCAACATGTGGAAGTCCCGGCCAGCACCTAGCCTCCTGATTCCTTCACTTAACTTCTAGACTATCTCATTTCCATGTGAGCCCCTTTTCTACATGCCTGTAATCTCAGAACTCAGGAATCAAATGCAGGCTATTCATAAGTTTGAGGCCAGCCTACACCATAAAATAAGTTCCAGGTCAGTCTGAGCTACTTTAAAGAGATTCTGCCTCAAAAAACATTTGTAATTTAGTTTTTAAATATAAAAACTCAGGTTTTTTTGAAACATTCAGATGAAGGGCATGGTTATAAATTCTTTTACTACAAAGTGCTATCTCTTTTGAGAATTATTCCTGAAGTCTAGTGCTGTCACAAAAGACACACCTGCGGATTCCTTTTGGTGTTTCTCCAATGATGAAGGTGGTCTGGCCAGCTCGGTAGACTTTTTTCTTCTTTTGATGCACAGGGTAGGAGATGCAGAGAGGGGAAAGACCTCCGTCACCTGGTGGTTGGTCTTTCTCTGTAGGCGGCATCGTGTCTGCATTTACCTTTTCTTTGTATGTCTGAAAAAAAAAAAAAAGGAGGAAGTAAAAACCAAGTCTGAAAAACCCAGTTTTGGTTCAGTAAGACAGAGAATGTCAAACTTATTTCTAATATAGTCTCTGTAGCAAAGCAATTCACATTACCCAGCTGAAACAACTGTCAGAAGACGTTAGTCCAGACCATTAAAAGAATGAAATAAGGAAAATTGTGGTATTTCTACCGTCAAGGCTGTGGCTATACCAATACACAGGCTGACAGCTACTCTCCTAAGGATTAAAAATCAGTGAATACATGAATGAAAGCAATAAGTTGCTCTCTGTAGGCCCGG